ATTTTTTCTAATTAGTGGATGTCATTTACTAATGCGTGTCTTCCATTTCTTGCAAGGTCAAAATTCGATTACGAATTTTCTTCAAGACTAGGGGAATGATAGAATCCTAGGAAGCTCAACTCTATTCAAGTACAAGGATGAAGCTTTGAAATCTCTAATAAGGTAATTAAAATGATCTCAAGGTAAAAAGTTGCAAAACAAGGTCATTGGACTTCAAGTGCAAATAAAGAAGTTGTTAATTTGGATGAAGCGCTTAATGCTAATGGATATGAATTAGCTGGGTGTTATAATTATTTTATGGCCCAATTTCAATTCCAATAAAAGGTGGATTGAAGCTCAAAACCGGCCTTTGAAGGATGTCCAAACCAGTCCACTTTTGGACCAACTTGGTACCTAAAATGTGTCCAAACATGCCGCCCAAGGAGCACCACATGGAGTCACATTTTTAGCCATGTATTTGAGCTTACTTGCTGCCTAAGAAGCCCTCAAGAGGCGCCCTACATCAAACAAAGAGAGGCTTTTACTTGCCACCCAAGCTTGGAGAGGAAAAGTCAAACTTTCCTTATTCTTTCCCTAATTTGTTATGAAACTATTTCCTAATTAGATATGACATATTTAATGCTTTCTTAGATAGTTAAGGTTATATTTTCCTATGATTATTGGGATTACTTTCCAAGATTGACTTGATTTTTATTTTCTAATCTTTTTTCTTTTCCTATGGTAGTTAGACTTTTTGTCCAAAGTAGTGTAGGACTTCATTTCCTTGTTTTATGCATAATTTCGTGACCCTCTATACCTATATAAATGATGTCTTCTTTGTATACATACTTATATTATTATAAACTATTATCAATAAAAATTGTGAGATTCTTCTTTAACTTTTGTGTTCAACCTTCAAGACTCGACTTAAGGTGGTAAGATTAAACTCTTTTCGAAATCTTAGATCACTACTAGGTATTCAATAAAGGAGATAAATTTTAATTTATTATTGTTCTTGTTATTATAAAGGGTCGGGTTTTACAATCTATTTTTGTCATTAATTCTCTATCAAATGTGATTAGTTCTTCCTTGACTAATTGTTATTGTTAGGATTCGAGTCAAGAATAGACCTCTTGAATTCAAAAAACTCTTTTTTGAATTCACTCTATCTTTAATTCTTGTCTTCTTTTTCGTTTTTTAATATTTTCTTCTAACTTCCACATGTTTTTTGATTTTTTTTTCTTTAATAATTTTTGGACCCTTAACGAGTTTTTATTAGAGTGAGAGCTTTTTCTCCCTATAAAACGAGTTACACGTGATTTGATAGCTACATTGTTTTACTAATTCAGGTCGACTAGGATCCCAATCTTCAAACCAATATATTTGTTCGTCAATCCACTTCACTTATTTTTTGAACAAGCTACTGTTTTTTGAGCTTATATTTAAAAGATTAAAATAATTTTTGTTACCACTTAAAAATACCAGGAAATTATGTCGGAGTGAAATTTTTAGAACTATTATTTAAGGTTTGATCCCGTTAAGAAAATTTTAGAAAATAACCCTGTTACCCGAATTTTGAAGCACGTTACCAGAATTTTGAAGTATGTTGCCAGAATTTTTCCATGTAAAACTTTTTAAGGGTTTATCTTGTGGAAAATCCTAGTGATCATCGTATAATTATTTTTAGCGATTGTCATATTTTTGCTAATTCTAGTGATCATCATATGAAATTTTCTGGCGACTGTTATATTTTTGCAAATTTTGGTAATCGTCATATATGACAGTGATCATATTTTGTGTCAAATCCTAATGATCGCCATATAAAAATTTTTGACGATTGCCATATTTTTGTGGCATATGCTGATGGTCACCATATCAAAACATGTGGCGATTGCCGGAAGCACTTCCCAAAATTCAAATAGAGGTTATTATTCGATTTTTTTTTCCGAGGTCAAAAAATTAACATTGACATGAAAATATCCTTTATGACATTTTCCCTAAAACTAATTATTTATTAGCCGCTAAACACCATCATTCTCTTTCTCTAAATACGCTAAACTAAATCTTACCACATACATAAACCTTTTGCCCTTTTAGTAAATGAAAATAGGATTAATAGCCTGTTTGGCCAAGCTTCTTTTTGGCCAAAAGTGCTTTTTTTGGACAAAAGCACTTTTGGCCAAAAATTGAGGTGTTTGGTCAAGCTTTTGAAAGGAAAAAAGTGCTTTTTGAGGAGAAGCAGAAGCAGTTTTGGAAAAGCAAAAAAAGTAGCTTCTCTCCAAAAGCACTTTTTTGAGAAGCACTTTTGAGAAAAATACACTTAGAAACAGTTTTTTAAAGGAATTTTTACCTCCTATAGCAAATATTAACACCTTATTTATTTTAAATAAATACCATTTAAAAAAATTATATTCTATAGATACCTTTTCAGATTTATAGCAAGATATTTAATTTTGGTTTCCTCCTAGCCCTAAGTCACTAAATACGTTAATCAGTTACACTTTTTTCTTTCTCTCTCTACTTTGATACATCTCATTCTCCCAAAATTTCGTAGACCTCTTCCTCTAATATCAACTCTCTCTTCTCCCAAAGTTTCGTGGATCTCTTCCTCTAATTACTCTTTCTTTTTTCCAATATTCTCATCTTTGATCAAAGAAAGAAGATATGAAGAAGAACAGTGCATACGAGAATTCATGGGCTGATCAGTGGGACTACAATAATACAGAACCATATTCCAAAAACACCAAAAAAAGTAATTCCGGTGGCGGCGGAGTACCTCGTCAATATCTCTTTTAGCAGCAGCCATGGTTGAAACTTAACACGACGGCTATTTCTGCTCGACAGTATATTAAACAAATTCTTTCCTAACTCAAACGACACAAAAGCATCAATAGCACCATATTCAACTTGTTCATAGCACAAATCCTCTGCATTCCAACTCAAAGTATTATTCAATTGCTTCTCCATAACTTTCCCAAGTACTTCTTTCGCCATTCTCTTCAAATCTATTTTTCCATAGATTTCTTCGAATACCCATTTTCACTCCCGGCTTCCGGTGAACGGCGGATTCGCCGGAAATTAGGGTTTGTTCTTGAACAAAGACGATGGAGTTTGGGGCTGAGCAACTTAATTTTCTGTTAATATATTTCAATGTATTTTCATGTATTCATTGTCTTTTTTTTTCATTGTAATTCAATGTATCTCGTTGTATTCCATGTATTTTATTTTATTCACTATCTTTTTTTCTCATTGTATTTCAATGTATTCTATGTATTTCATTGTATTCACTGTCTCGCTATATGCCATGAATGTATTCATAATTTTTTTTAATTAATATAATTTATGTATTCAGATGTATTATATAATTTCTCTGAAGATTGCTATGTTTTTGGCGTATTTTTCGGTTGAGAATCTTTTTTATAACTGAAAATACAAAATTTGTGTGTTATAATTGAGTTTGTTGAGTTATATTAGGAGTCTGTTATGTTAATTGATTCACTTTCCGTTTTTAAAACAGTGTAATTCCCTATTTCACGCCGTGAATACAGTCGAATACAATAATCTGTCCAGCTGTAATCCCATTTTCACTCCATGAATACAGTCGAATACACTCGAATACAACAACTGATTAGTTGGACTTCCCTGATTCACGCCTATTTTTGCTACTGTATTCATGAATACAATAGCTTAAATACATCAAATACATCTTATAACCACATAAAATGTATCTATAATCCGTAATATAGCAGATGGTATCTATAGATGGCTAATTACTACTAAAAGATAGTGCTTTATGAAAAATTCTCCTTTTAAAGCTTGGCCAAACACTAATTACTGTTCAAAAATGCTTTTCAAACTAATTAGTCAAACACAAACTGCTTCTCACCAAAAGTACTTTTGAGAAAATCACTTTTGAAAAAAAACACTTCTCAGAATAAGCTGATTTTTGCAGCTTGGCTAAACGGGCTATAAATTACATACATATACCTTTTTCCCTTCTAGAATTAAATTCGTCATTTTCTTCGCCAATAAATAAAGGTAAAAATTGCACGGGGCACCTATTTGGTCGCTCCCATTTAACATATACCCATTTTTTAAAAACTTTTAACTTGTACCCACTTTTTAAATAACTTCAGCCTCCTTTCTCCTCATCCCCCTCCTTCTTCTTCTTCTTCTTCTTCTTCTTCTTCTTCTTCTTCTTCTTCTTCTTCTTCTTCTTCTTCTTCTTCTTCTTCTTCTTCTTCTCCTTTCTTCTTCTTCTTCTTCTTCTTCTTCTTCTTCTTCTCCTTCTTCTCCTTCTTCTGCTCCCTCCTTCTACTGTTGTTGGTGCTGCTCTCTTACTACTATGGCTTTTGCGAGTCTGAATTTTGTAACAACTAAAGATAATTATTTGAATCCCTTCCTATTTTTCCTTCACAAGATAGACGAATCGGGATCACGACTCGAATAATGGTGTTGACTACGCAACAACAGGAGCTGTAGCTGCATTTGTTGTAAAATAAACAAACTATATTTTCTGATCGAAGCACAATTGTTATTATCGCATTACCAGTGCCATCTACATTCCCGTGAGATATGTTATGGCATGAAAAGTTGATTATTAATAGACAAAATTTTAATAAAAGTTTTAGTAAACAAAACAATTACTATGTAAATGACTTGATAGTTCGGACAAAAACTTCAGCTCTAGAGCTGAAATTAGCCAGTTACAAAATAAAATCTTCAGCTCTTCGCCAGTTACAAAAAAAAAACTTTTAGAGCTGAAGTTCGCCAGTTACAAAACAAAAACATAAAAACAAAAATTTAGAGCTGAAGTTCGCGAGTTACAAAACAAAAACTTCGTCAGTTACAAAACAAAAACTTCAGCTGAACTTCAGGCCCGACTACTAGAATGCTGAAGTTTTGCGTGATTGTCTTTGCTATTTAAGCCTCGTATGCTGAAGTTATGCGAAAAAGCGAATAAGCTTCCAATTTTTTTTTTTTTATAAAGCACGCACAAGTTAACACCCCACAGAGTAGAGATGCAAATGGCCCTAAATAAAGGCGGATCCTCTTTGGCTCTTCTTTTCCATTCGTTTTGTAGTCCTTAATTTATCGAACTCGCAGAGCAGCTGAGAAAGGGCGCAGCGGTTTCCTTTTTCTCCTTCGATTATAATCGAAATTGAATTCACCCTTTTCGTTACTTGTTGTCTCTCTCTCTTCCTCTCTCCCACAGACAGTGGAGTGACATGGCGGATGCTTACTGGAGGTACACCAGCGGTGGGCAGCAGGCGGCGACCCTTCCTCCTCAACTCGTCGCAAAACGTCCTCGCACCGAATATGGTATCTTAATCAACTCCCGCTCTCTTTTTGTGTCTAAATAATTCGAGATCTCTGCATATTTTTTCTCAACTTAGGGTTTGTAAAAGCTAGGGTTTATTCATTTACTACCTTTTTCAGTCAAGAACTTTACCTTTGTGGCTTTTCATGTGTTTGAGGAGATAGTTATGGTAGGAATTGGAAGAATACTCACCAAAATGTCCTGGGTATTGCTGAAGTAAGAGTAGGAAATAAAAAAAAAGGTACTTTTAGTATTTTGTTATTGGTATCGCTAAAGGGGAAAATGACCAAAAAATGTGATAGCTATGGCCTATGTTAGTTATCGGAAGCGTACTTGCCAAAAGTGATTTTAGTTGTTGCAAGTAAGAGGAGGAAATAGGAAATCCAGTATTTGCTTATAGTCCATCTAAAGTGTAAAATGGCAAAAAGATCGACAGTTATGATAGGGATTAGAACAATACTCAAGAGTTCATTGGTATTGCTGGAGTAATAGGAGGAAATAAAAATTGTAGAATCTGGTTATAGGCCCCTCTAAAGCGGAAAATGGTCAGAAGATTGACGGGTAAATTAGGGGTTGGAAGAATCTTAGTATGAAGGAGAGTTGGTATTGCTTGCTATAAAAAATTTCCCCTTAGGGGAAAAAAGGTTAGAGAGATTGGCAACACAAGTCATAAATTGTGGTATTGTTAATGGACAAGAATAGGAAACACGTGATATTATAGTGGAGCCCGGACATAGGGATAAAATTGGAGAGGTAAAACAAGTTGGAATATGATTATCTCATTAAGACTTATATGTGAATAAGACAATCAATGTTATAATACTTATTCTAGAAATACAATTAGATACAGAAACTGGAACTAAATTTTGAGAAGATATGGACACATTGGTCTAAGAGTTTCTAGGGGACCAACATATTTTTATTAGGAAAGATCTGAATAGTCAGACTGATTCGGCCAAGTACACAAGGAATGTGGTTTGGTACCAGAAATGATGAAACAAAGACTATACTATAGGTGAAAGACTATACTAGAGGTTGCTTTAAATTATGATTTACTTGTAGCTACACATATCTGAAAGAGAGAAAATCTCACCTAATAATACTTAGGAGTGGGATAATCATAGTTAAACAAACTTTATCCTTTTCCGAAGACGTGATAGAACAACATATAGGGATTGTGATATTGTACCAAGAGAAGCTATGGCGGCCTATCATAAACTGGTGGTGTTGGATGTAAAGCAAAAAAGAAGAGTTAGAAAGTTGATGAGTTGTAACAACTGAGATTTCGGTGGTGGGAACTAAAAGGCATAAACTAGTTAGCATTTCAAGAAAAACGATAGAGGAAAAACCGTATGGGAATGGAGACATCATGTGGAAGTAAATGTCAAGTTGCATTAAGAAAGTAGCAAGTGAAGTGTTAGGAGTGTCTAAACGCGCAAGACCTCGACCACAAGATGTGGGTGGTGGAATGCGGAGGTGCAAAGAGCTACTAAAATAAAACGAGAGTTCAGCTGGAAGTTACCAAAAACACAACTTGGAAAAGCCTTTGAAAAGTATAAAAGAGCTAAGAGGAAAGCTAAAAAGTCCATTACCAAAGCTTGAGAAGAAGGGCTAGCTTGCTTGTAACAAAAGTTAGGGATTAAAAAATGGGAGAAACAAATGTATAAACCAGACACCCGAGAGAGAAGAGCATAAGGACTTAAGCCAGTTGAAGTGTACTAAAGACGACTCTAAAAAAATGTTGTTTGGAGATAATGAGATCACAAAGAGAGATAGAGAGGCTATTTCAATCAATTGCTCTTGAATCACTAGGATAACTTTATCAATCTCAATACATATTTTTCCAATAGAAACTTTAGCTAAACTTGTAGAATTAGGCAAGTAGAAGTAAATAATACCGTGAAAATATGCAGATTAGATAAGTATGTAGTCCATATTTGAAGTGTATTGCATTTGTTTCGAGGTGGTAGGATGTTCCATGAGCGGAGAAAGAGTACATTGATTCCAATATGTAAAACAAAGGAGATATTCAAAGTTGTGCAAACTATTGTGGCTATGAGCAATGCAATAATAATTTAGGAAAGAGTAACAATTTACCTTATCAAAAAAAAATTTTTTTTTTAGGAAAGAGTAATAAGACGTAGCCTTGGGGCACTACAAGAGTGATAGAGAACCAATTCGATTTATGCCTAAAGGATGCACCGGTTTGTAGGACCTATCTAAGAATTTCTAGTGCTAGAGAAACTAAGTTTTATAATATTGGACGGATATCGGTTTGAATGAACTACGTGAACAGTAATGATTCATATAGCCAATCCCAACTTGCTTAAGATTTATGCGTAATCATGTTGTATTTATATAGATAAAAAGTACGGAAGTGCAATGATATTATTGGCTTGGTTGTGTTAGCCCACAGATGTTGGTACTAAAGATTCATAAATTGTAACTCTGCATGACCACAAATTGCTTTCACCTAACTAGACCTTTAACTCTTTTCTCGAGGGAAACTAGGATAAAAATCGTGTCAAGTAGCTGGCTTGGTTTCTATTTTGTTATCTTTTGCGCATGCTGATAGTTGTTGCACTTCAATTAGCTTCATTTTACTATTCTTTGCTTGTTTGTTTGTGGTCATATATTACCCGAAAAAAGATTATTTCTTTGACACATAATTTAGTGCTTGTTTCTCTCTTTCTGTAATTAATTTCTTTTGGTGTTGCCCTTTGTAGATGTTCCAAGTGGTCCCGAGTTTCCTGGCTATTATGGCCGTGATGATGAAAGGGGAATGCCTCGTGTCATTAGAGACACAGATCCTATAGAAGCATCCTATGAGCGCTACCTCCGTAGTGGGGTAATTCATTTTTATTTTCTTTTGAGCGTGTTTCCTTGATACTGTATAGGTCTAATGTATTGGTAAAATTTCCAGCAAATTTCCTCCCATGTTGCCAGTGAGTCTGCAAGATCCATAAATAGTGGAATTAGTGGCCATCCTATTGAAGATCCACGTGTTATGGGGATTGGGGGACCCGACCCGCTGGCTTTAAAAAGCAGAAATGTTGGAATGGTAGGTGGCAGACCAGAAATTTCCCTTCCTCCGGATGCTAGCAGTACATTGTTTGTAGAGGGTTTGCCTGCGGATTGTACAAGAAGAGAGGTGTCACGTATCCTTGTGTGGTCTGCTTCCCTGTTTTATTGTTATACGTCCCATTCTACTTTTCTCCTTGACTTTTGTTTGCAGATATATTTCGCCCTTTTGTAGGTTACAAAGAAGTAAGGCTGGTACCAAAAGGATCGCGACATGTAAGGATACCTTTTGCATCTTATCTTACTTCAACAACAACAACAATTACGCCTCATTCCCAAACAAGTTGGGGTCGGCAATATGAATCCACATGCATCTTATCTTACTTCGTCCAAAAAAAAAAAACTTTTACATCTAGCAAGGCCTAGTTCTGTCTACTATTACTTTGAAATTCACTGCACTATCGACTTATGCAGCTCGGAGGCGATCCTTTGATTCTTTGCTTTGTTGATTTCGTGACTCCACTTCATGCAGCTGCTGCAATGGATGCCTTGCAAGGTGAGCTTGATGCACCCTTTTATTTTGACATACCCATCTGTAGTCTTATCTCGTGACTGCTAGTAATACAGTTAGCCTTCATATTCTTTCACCTTTTGGAAGCCTGTAGAAACAATTATAAGAATACCTTTTGCATCTTATCTTACTTCAACAACAACAACTATGCCTCAGTCCCAAACAAATTGGGGTTGGGGTTGGCGATATGAATCCTCATGCATCTTATCTTACTTCGTCCAAAAAAACAGAAGAACAGAAACCTTCTGCATCTATCAAGACCTAGTTCTGTTACTATTACTTTGAAATCCGCTGCGCTATCAACTTATGCAGCCCTGTAGAAGCAACTATAAGAATGAGGTTTTCAAAGTTTAAACAAGAGCAAAAACAAATATTTTTTGCTTCTAAGTTGCAATATTAATATCACCTACAATTCTTGGTGGATCAGATTAGTTAAACTTGAGACCAGGAAGAATAGTTTCCGTTTGCAGGCTTGTCAGTCAGCTCACATTCTTGATTGTTGTGTGGTCTTGCATTTTGTATTCCTTAAGAAATGAGGAAGTTAGCCCAAGTGTTGACATCTCCTTGATGGCCTGCTAGGCTTTTGCCTTCTTTATTAAACTGAGTCCGTTTCCTCCTTTTCAGCCACTGTATACTCTGTTTTGCATCAGCTTTTACTATGCGTACACCAGCCCAAGCCCCTAGTGCATTTCTCACTTCAGAGATCCAACTACAATCAGCAAATAGATGATAGCTTGTTTCAATACTATCTGCTTCACAGAAGCACCGTTTGTCACTATCCATTGGGTGTATTCAGTCTGTACGTCCTCTCCTTAGTAAGTAGCATCTTGATTTGCTAGCTACACTATCATCCGCTGTTTTTGGCTGCATAACTGAACTCCATAATAAATCAGCTTCCTTCATTCTTGTAATAGTTCCCAGCATAGCTAAATAGCTACTTGTCACTGAGTAATATCCTTTAGCAGTCAGGCTGTATGTTCCATTTTGGTACCACTCTTGCATCTGACCCTTCAGAGAGTTTAGTTTTTTCCATTACCAGCAACAATCTTGTGGTGGTATGTGACTCCAAATATCCCCTTTTGCTTTCATATAAACCTGATTTACTTATTTTACCCATAGGACATCTTTCTTTTCTGTCAATTGCCATAATATTTTTGCCATTGATGCTACATTCCATTTCCTGCAATTTTTTATGTTCGAACCCTCAAATTTCTTAGGGACACAGACTCTTTGTCCCATGATACCAGTGCAACTTTCCTCTTCTCTTCAGAGCTCCCCCATAAGTACTATCTACATTTTCTGTCCACCTCTTTCTATACACTGAGGAAGGATGAATACAGCTCCCCAAAAGTTGTATATAGAGAAAAGCACTGTATTGATAATTTGTAGTCTTCCAGCATAGGATAAGTGCTTGGAGTATGCTTCATTAATTCTGACTGTGAACTTTTCAACTAGTGTAATCAAGTGTAGTAGCTGTTCTTATCAGTTTAATATCTGATGTGTGGGCCATCGGCTCACATGATATTAACTCTTTTTACTTTTTGTTGTCAGAGCTCTTGATAAAAACTTTTCCATGTATTCTTTAGAGCTGACATGGGTACCTCATTTTGAGTGCTGGTTGTAGAGAATCCTCATTTTTCATCAGATAAACAAAATGCTAAATACTGTGATTATTCTAAAATTTTTAAGGTGGAGCAGAGTCGGAGAGTTTGTAGCTCTGTAAATTACCGTACTTCTTAATTATCTTATGGTGCTGTTTCTGGACAAAGACCTAGTGCTTATGGATTAGTGTATAAACAGTGTCAGCGCTTCACCAATTGTCAACTTTGGTGGAAGAATGCAACTTTAACTATCATTTTCTAATATTACGAAGTCTAATGGCTAACTGATAAAAGGTAAAGAAAGATCATGATCCCGTGCTGAAGGATCTGACATAATATTGGCTGGCGGATATGGGTTCCATTTGATGTATGGCTTTGCCCTTCTGCTCTAGGCTTTTTCTCCTTTGGCGTTCTTGAGGATTCATATGGTGGGTCACAACTATTTTGGGATTGAGTTAATTGACTGATCGTTTGCACTTTTGGCATTCCCTTTAGGCACCATTGATTATGCATAGCTTGTCATTGTAAGGCCTTTTGGTTTATTACAGACCCAATTTCTGGCTCGTCAACTATTCTTTGATTTTGCCAAAAGTCAAAAGAGTTAATGGTGCTATAGAATTCTAATTAAGATGAGTTATTGTGCAGTGGGTTGTAATTTAGTTATTGGCTTGTGGAATTATCCTCCAAACCAGTTGCCATGAAATCAATAATTTTCTGGAACTGAAAAGAGAAAATAAGGGGAAAAGATGGTGATTTTTGGCGAGCCTTAAAGTTTAAGTCTGATTCTATCTACCCAAAGTAAACGCATTAGCAATGATTGAAATTGGCACTGCTTGCTTAATAATTTGGGGAATGTTATAGGAGATAACATAAACTCCAAATTTTGACTCCTCTGAGGACCAAGACTTTATTTATGCATTCTGTTAACTTTTAACTTCTTATTTACAAAAAAAAAATCAAATTTTTTGAGTCTTTTGGTAAGAGATAATTTTAATGGGTGACAGCTTGTAGATGGTTTGTGCGAAGAAGCCATTTTATATACGTTGAGTCACTCAGTGTGATGATCCTTTAGGTAAATGTTATATGCACTGAACAAGATTAGTTTATCTCGGCGTTGCTGTCTCCGAGGCTCAATCTTAGGACTTAGGCTTACTCCTCCCTCCCCTACCACCTCTTCTGTAGCCCTTTCATCTTATTTCATGTTGTGAATTGCATGTTAAGATCTTTGCCTTGGCAATTTAAGGGGCACTAAACTTTCATAAAAGTTGAAGGACGTTTGCAGACTGCACTATTGTGCAGCTCTGCATGTGCCTTTGACTCTGCCATAGTCTGCTGAATACCTGTTGCGTCAGTTGGTTGCATAACAAAACTTTTTCTGCTTGATAGCAACTCCATGTCCAATTGTTGGGCAATGTATGCACATCACATTTTTGCTGGTGTATATTTGAGTCGTCAGTGAAAGAGAAATTTGTTGCGCTGGTGAGGTAGTAAAACTAAATCTTGCAGGTTATAAATTCGACGAGCATGACCGTGATTCGGTCAGCTTAAGGATGCAATATGCTCGCAATCCTGGTGCGAGGTCAGGTGGTGGGAATCGCGGAAAACGTTAAAACTATGCGTCTTTACAGGTGACATGCTAGACTTCCATGCGCTTGACCCTTTATTATCGATGGCCATAACATATGCTAGAAATTCATAGATCAAACTAAATTGTGGAACTATACTTCTGTGTAGGACTTGCCCAAGTTTGGAGATTTATGATACTTAGAGACGTTATGCCGGCTTTGCAGTTTCGTGCGCGGCGTGTTTCTCTGATCGGGGGCTTTCGTTAGGACCAGCTTTAAATTACTACTGGGTTTTCTTTATCCGGGGGAGGAAGTGATAGTTGCGATAAGGCGTTTAGCTTTCGTTTCAAATTCTATTTTCTGCCTCGACTTTACTGGACCCGCTTTGTTAAATTTCATATCTGGACAGACAAGAGATGATATTGCTTGAATCTTGCGTTTAGGATGTTACAATGTACGTGTAATGTTAAGTGGAGTTGCTGCATAGCAGTTCTAAAAGTTGGTTGTTCGATCATGCCATGAATTGTTTGAATTCATTTTTAAATTCACTAAGGCCTCATTTATTTGCACTTAATGGAGGTCTGAATCTTAATCATTTAGATCTCAGATATTAAGTGCGTTTGTTTTTAAAGTCTGAATCTTAATTATTCAGATCTTAATCATTAAGTGTTTTTTTTTTTACTTCACAACCACTTAATGGGTTTGAATAGGTCTGTATGATAAGATCTATAACAAAGACTTAATTTCATTAAAATGCTATCACATATTCATTATCAACTGCCGCCACCGCCTACCATTATCAACTGCCACCATGCCACCACCACCACCACCATACTCAACCACCATCACCACCCCACCACTACCACCTCCACCACCACACCACCATCATCCTCGATCATAGCCGCCACTATTATCAACCATCACCACCCACTATCCCCACCACACCGACCACCATCATTCTCACCCACAATCAACACTCATCCACCTCAACTACCACAACTGACTATCTCATCACCATCAATAACCACAACCGACACTACCCATCATTATATCATCCCACCATCCACCCACCCACCACCTTTCTCAGTCACAACTACTACCACCACCTGCCATTATTAACTATCACCACCCACCACCACCATCCTCAATCATAATTGCCACCGCTACCAATCACTACTAGCTACTAGTATGAACCACTATCATCAACCAAAACTACCACCAACCACCGCCTCTAATTGGCATTCACTCGTTAGCCATCACCACCAACTATCATATTTTAAATAACTATATATTTTATTGACAGAACATTAGATTAATTAGTATTTCATTTGAATTTTATGTTTATTAATTTCAAATAAAGATAAATTTTATACATTCAGATGTTAAAAATCAAACAGTCTTAATTATTTATATTCAGATCTTAATATATTCAGATGTGTATTCAGATTCAGATGTTCTTAATCTTAATACACCTTGATATTTAGATGTGTATTCAGATTCAGACGTTTTAAGCGTAAAAAAACAAATGAGGCCTAAAACACTTTATGATTTAGTAGACATTGCAGGGTGTTGTATGATGGGCATTAACATCTGCTCTGTTCATGAAAGAGCTGGGAGGCTTTTCGTGTCAATTTTGTTGTTTGTTGCTATCATTTAGGCGTGGAGACTTTTAAGGTTGATGAGACAAAGAAAATCCAATACTTGTCCTTCTCCAAGTAAAACTTTTCTGACAGGTA